TATTTTTATCTTTCTATTGGAGCCTGTTTCATTACATCAATTTCAAATAATGTAAACTAATTATAACAGTGAATATGTTTATAATAAAAATATGAATTTGCATCAGGAAATATCATATTAAAAATTTGCAAGTGATTCGGGTGGGAATCGAACCCACAACATCCAGGTATCTAGGCTGATGTCTTAACTACTAGACCAATGATTTGCTCTTGACTAGTGATGAGTCACCAAGAGCAAGCTTGGTGGTTTAGTGGTTAAGATATCAGGCTAGATACCTGGAAGTTGTGGTTTCTAAACATCACTCCAAGTTTTATACTGTAATATTCTTTTACAATTTCTTGCTACCTACAATGCTTTCTGTTTTTTCAGGGTGGTGAACGTATTTTCTACGTTCTGTCACGCTTGAAGCCTGAATGTGTAAAGACATCGTCCCTGGATTATGGGAACCGAGCAGTTTCAATCTTTCATGACTTTGGTGGCTATCTACCTGACGATCTTTTCCAGCGTGGAGTAACTAAGTTTATTGAGAAATTTCAAGTAGAAAACTATGAACCTAAGCTATCTTATGAGCATGTGGAGTTACACGTTGATCAACATCACCAAGTGGTTCTGAATGTAGCTACTGTTAAGCATCGTCGTATGTTTAAAGTAATTAGGCCTCTCATAATATTCTTATCTGTCATTTAATAGTATTTAAATTTGGCCTACTTTGAATATAAATAGTAAGTTTAAAAATAATGGTATAATACTGAATGGGTCTATAATATACAAATTTGCATGATCATAGAAAATGAACATTTTTCTTGTATAGTACTTACACATTCAAATTGTATACAGATGCCACAATTAATGAATTATTACAGTGGTCATCAATACATTATTCATCATCATGTCAATCGGTTTCAATAGGTTGTATGTTCCTTGTAATTTTGTGGAATATTTTCTTGTCTTACAATTCATTAATATCACATCATCATTATCATTACTAAAAATATTATTATTAGTGCCACTAACATAAACATCACAATGTTATTATCATTATTAACACTAATATTATTATTACCATTATCATCAATACCATGACCATTGTCATAGCCAGTAAACATATATATAAATATATACTACTGAATATAAAATAAATACAGTTTTGCTTTTTGAAATAAGTACATAAATACAGTAAAACAACAACAGTTGAGTTTCGATGTTCAGTTAAAGTTTGAATTCATAAGACATTTCTTTTCTCATTTTTGCTTTGCAGACAACTATCATCAGACTAAATATTATTAATCCCACTCGGATTACCAAGAAAGATGAGCCCTCACCGAGAGTGTGTAAAGAGGTACTGCCTTCATTGAATTGAGTGACTATACTCAATATGTTTTAACCATATTCTACATTCTAAAACACATTCACTCTTTGTATGTTTGAACCTAATGGCTGCCCACACTATTCTTCATTCTAAAACACGTTCATTATGTTAAACATACACATGTATTTAAACTCAGTTTTTCATCTGATTCAGGTGTTGGATTTCCTGGAAACTGAACTAAAGATATTCTGTCAGAGTGGTGCACGAGGCATTGAATTAACGAGGTACATTGCTTGCGAATGTAGCGACGCCCACATGCATATAGTGCGCAAGTTTGATAAGGATGTGCTGCCTTGTGGGAGTAATGGACTGGAAGTGACGCGCTACCGTCGACTGTTTGGAGATGACGTGCAACGATCGCAAGGTAAACATGTGACAAGTCTTTGAACTAATTAATTTGTTAACCAGGCGTCCATCAGTAAGATATAAAAAATGTATAATCTAGAACCCGTTCCGCAACCTTTTTAGCCCGTGTTCCAAATCCAAATATTTAACAATCAGCCGCGACTAATCGACCTCAGACCAAATTAACCTAAAAAGTATCTGCCAAATTAATAAATATGATATTATTGTAATCAGGTTTGCCTGCTTTTGGTATCTTCCTTGAATTCATTATTTTATTTTTCCTTGCATTATTTAATTTTGTCATTTAATTGTATGAACTTACCTAGTTATACCTTGTTATATTGCTTCAATATTTTCTAGATTCGAGGACGTACAGTACATTTACATTTTTACCACGGTGTTTACTGTAATCTTGTACTTGATTTTTTCTTTTTTATATTTTTATTGCATACAAGTGTTCAAAACCACCTTTATACAGATGAATTACTATATACACCAAGTATTGTTTATAACCTTATTTGAAAAGGAATAAATAAAAACATTTTTAGAACATAAAGTGATTCTAAGCACGATATTATTCTGTACCATCTATAGATTCAGAATAACTTTTTTGGGGAATTATAATTTGAAAGTGTACATTTGTGTCACCAAAAATGATCATCAAATTTAATACCTAGCCAGTTAGTGCAATGGTTTGCCTCTGAACCGAAAGTTTTAACCAATCCAACTTTGGAGCGGCGATAATGCAATCCTCAAGTTGGCACACGGAACCACTGTCTTTTCTGATACTTGGACTTGAGAGATACAATATTTGATCGCGTATAAGACAATCTGCGTACAAGAAGAGTTTCAGAAGATTTTTGGATAATTTTGTTGGACATATTTTAAAACTAAATTTGTGTGTTACGGACGATCAAAACAGAAGACAAACATAATTTTAAGATTCGTCATATACGTGAGAATTACAGAACAATTTAAATCCATCCCCGCGTTATTGTCGTGAATGGCATTAGAAACTTTGTCACAACCTGGCTGCAGCCATTTTTGCTTTTATCCAAAAATTTACCAATGGCTCCTGTTTAAGTTAATCAAAACTGAAATGTATTCACATGGTAAATGTCAAGCTAAGCCTAGTCTGGTTTCCTTAAGAATCGCTGAACTATCGCTACAGTTTTTTATTTCTTTTACTGCAATCGTATGCGTAGCAGTCCTGACGCAATCGGGGAAACTCCCTGATACGACCATCTAATCAGCATCAACAAAAGCTGTGTACTAGCGTGTAGCAATGTTGTGGAAATAAGTACTTACATGCATCGGTGTTTTTGCTGTTTCATTTCTTACCATCAATTTTTTTTTTATCTGAAGTGATTGTGTGACCCATCAAAATTTCTCCGCGACCCATAGGTTGCGGAACAGAGATTTACAATTTAAAATCAAATAAAAAAAACGTGTTACTACTTATTAACAAGAATATATGCACAATTACAGCAAAATGAGACTTTTGGATCACTTGACTTTTCAAATTAACAAAAATTTCAATACTGTTAGGCCGGTAAATGTTTCTTGGCAGAAAAAAACAGTTGTAGAAAACATAGGCCTAAGTTGATCTTGATACGCACAATTTATATTTCCAGATCGTTCGCAGGCCCAACCAGCAGTAACTAAACCCAAAGGTATGTTTATAATCAGCGTGATTTTTGGTATTTTTTTTTGTGCGTGTGGGGTGAGAATTGCAACCACCCCGCACCCACTAGACACTGCAATGATAGGAATTGCTATTTACGGGAGTTTGTACAGTTAAGGGATTATGCCTCTTCAACAACTTTGATTACAGTACTTGAACTGTGATTTTATCAACCATCGCAGCTTTTCTCAAGGCCGTGACTACTGCGGCTGGTCAAGGTATTTGCACGAGGGGGTCCAGAAAGAGCAAAGGCACTCCTGTAAAAATGGCATAAGTGGGGGGACCGTCTTCCGCTTGCGTAACTAACTTACAGATAATTTGAATAATGAAATCAAGTCCTCGTCCAATATTTTGTAGATTTGTGTTATAGTGAAAAATTATTTTTTAACAATATTTGAATAGATATATACAGATACAGATATATACTCAAAAATACCAAAGACACGTAAAAGAATGGTGCTGCGATATATATTGTCTAGAGATGTTATAAGGCCACAAACGTTTGGTACGATGATTGTATTGTACTGTGTTATAAAATTTAATCTTACAAGTGTCATTCTCATTTAATTAGATCTCATTTTGATATTGTACTTTTTCTCAGGTTTTGTTGATGATGCCATTATTGCGACGGTGTCTTATGAAATGAATCACAGCTGGAAACGCTTTGGTGTTCGTTTGGGGCTCACGTGGGCAAGGGTTAACAAGGTTTGTGCTGAAGAACGACAACACACTGACAAAGCTATCCCTAAAATGATGTTGTATTGGAGAAACCACTTAGATAGTGAAACACATCAACTGAAAGTGCTGTGCACTGCTTTGAGACAACACGGGTACGTGCGTCTAGCTGGGCAATTATTCCAGGGCGATATCGGCGAGGGTGAGTTGTAGTAAGAGAAAACCTTTTAATTTTAGCAGTGCCTGTTGCTAGGCCTGTCAATAATCTGTTCTTTTTGTTATTTTTGGAGAAACACATATTCAGTCTTTAATAACAATAAAAATATTGACCTTATTGTAAATAATACGATTTATATTTTGTCTCAGGCCACCTGTCCGATACTGACATGCTACTTATTGCCGATAGACTAGGTACTGATTGGAAACCGCTTGGGATCAATCTAGGTCTAACACATTTACAAATACAGCAAATTGAGCAAGACTTTTCACTGTCTATGGTAGACGCCATTCTTGAATTGTTGGTAAGATGGCGAAAAGGGCAGGAAGATGAAAATCACCTTGCAAAAATGAGTGTTGCTTTGTGTGCCATCGGAAGAGAAGATATTAAAAGTAAACTCCAAACTCACTACGGTAGCAGGAATTATATCGGCAAAGTAATAAAGTAAAAGTAAAAGTGAATATAAGAATATAATATACACGAAATAAATAAATGAATAAACACATGGAAATACAGTACATATACCTGTCTCTTATACACATCTAGATGTGTATAAGAGACAGGAGTAATGGACTGGATATGTATATGATGATGATTTATAATACATAATTATAATAATATATATATACATATATATTTTATACATATATATTTTATACATATATATATATACATATATATTTTATACATATATAGTTATTCTTATATAATTATTCCTATATATTTTATACATGTCAGCAACCTCGAGCCATACTACTTTCATATTTTTATTTGTTTTATTAATTAATACCTTTGAATAAATATTGAAAAATAAAATTAATGTATTTTTAGCCCCATTATTTTTTAACCCATAATTTTCGTAATTATAGAAATTTTGTAATACTGTAGTGCACTTCAACCCTAACCTTGTAAATATGCAGATGTAACTACACTAAATATACAGTTTTATACAATACGTGTTTTTATTATTATAGTATCTCTGTTAATGGATTTCTGCTTTATTAACAACATTTTAAATTTAAATGTATGTGTATGTATTTATAATTTGTAAAATTTAATATGCCAAAATTTCGTAAAAATTTAAGGTACATTTTTTTACGGAAATAATAAAATTAAAAATTTTAAACTGACGTTTCTATGTGTTTTGAGGGCGTTGTTTAGATAGATTGACCGAAGCTCTACTTCTGTAGAATGCTGAACTTATACCTGTATCAAGTTTTTTAAAGAAGACTAAGCCCTCGTTCAGTTAAAAAAAAAAACACAAACACACCCCAAGTCAAAGACTGTAAAAAAGAGGGGTAACGCTTATAGATAGCCGTACTCGCCCATAAGGCGGTCTGCATATAAGACAAACCCCTGAGTTTGAGAAAAAAAATTTGACGATTTTTGTATGTCAGGCTTATATATTAATATTTTTAGTTTCATTGTGTTGCGTTCAATACTGAAAATAATAATTATGGTGGTGATGGTGGTTGTGGTGGTGATGATGCTATTGGGAAGATAGAAATAATTTTATTGTACCGATTATTGACGTTCTGTCTCGCGTATTTTGTAGTGGGTCACTACCAATGAAAATTATTTGTATCGAATGTCTGTAAATATGAAGTTAAGTTTTTCTCCCCTGATCTAACATGCACAAAATAACATTCGTAACAAATAGTCCAGGGCCATAAATACCACGTCGGTTCTAAAGTCTTTCTCTGTGGCTTGCAACAGAAATGGATGTTGCAGTGCCAAAAATTATTTGTGGGTGTTGGAGTACATCATAGTAACGCATGTCCATATTGAAACAGCTTTTAGCTTAAGTTAATTTGATTTGTTTAAGTATGATTATCTAGTACATGGATTTCTTTGCCGATGATTGCCGTATGCAGTTACGTAGAAAATTGATAAACATTAATGAGCATTACATTGATGTGCAAAACAGTTGACAGAAGTCAAACGAAACAAAAAAATTAATAAATAAATAAAATAAAACGATATCAACAGGAGTTCATCGCGAACGATTTCTATATATAAGTTTCATTTTTTACAATATTACAAAGATGAGATTAACCAATTAACTTTCATATGACTTCGTACGTGGAAAGTTGTGGTATATATGGGACCTACCTGGCACAAGTGAGGGGACTGACAAATAATGTTTATCAATATTGATTAGGGTACTATAATCTGGTAGGCCTACCCATTGTGGAATTATTTCCTCCGTGGCCTACCAGACCATGGAGGTCTAATGAGCAGACAATGTACAAGACCAAAGAGTAGGCTATGTCACAAGAGAGTCCACTGCTATTCTTAATGCATGCGATTTAGCGTGACGCCCGATCCGCTGTATGGGGAAAACGCCCCTAGCGTCTGGTGGATGTATGAGTTTCGACGCTCTGGTAGAATTAGGATTGAGTATTTTTTTGGTGTGAACCACACAAAATAAAAAAAACCTACTAAAAAGACCGACATTGATTGATACGATACTATGTAATATTATTGGGGTTAGTAGCTAAGGCCTATCTATCAATGGCGGTCGGTTTAGTTTAGTCAGAAGACTTTCCATTGGGATTCTTCTGGTGAATCTGAGGCTGTAGATCTGTCAGGAGACAAGCCCACACTTTTTAGTTCCTATGCATGTAATGCAATAGGAACTATTGTAATCACTCTTGCTATTTCCTATGTTTTTTATTGTGTGTAGTGTGTATGTGTGTGTGTAGACATTTATGCAAATGCGCATGCGTCAAAGAAAAGTTTTCCGACATTTTGTTTAAAGATGTGTATAAGAGACAGACCTAGAAGTCCCATTTTTTATTTTTTAAATCTCGTTTTGGAGGAGGGGACACCCCCTCCTATACCCAACCCTGGCTCTGGCCTTCCGCCCTCAGATAACGCTGCACCCTATAGCAGATGAACACCCATAAAAACTTAGCTCCCCAGTCGGACATCTTAGCCCCACCCCTCATAAATTATATCCTTGAGCCACCACTGCAATAGATGTGAAATGTTTATTAAATTCATTTGCAGTTTCCTCATCACTGCTAGACAGTTCACCATTTTTGTAAACTCTTTCAATATTGGGTTTGTTTTTGAGAATTAATTCGCGAATAGTTTTCTAATTATTTTTTGTATTATTAATATTATTATTTATAGCAGATGAACAGTGTTTTCTTTTTATAAAGGTTTCTATTAATTGTTAAGCTTTTTCCTAGCCTTCGTGGCTATTTGTTTTGTGAGCTTTATTGTAGTGATTATCCCTATCTTTAGCTGAGTCTGAGAAAATCACTCGTCATCACCATAAGGCGTTTACAATATTTCTATTACCGGTATATCAGGGTGTATATACCTGTCTCTTATACACATCTAGATGTGTATAAGAGACAGGATGTAATAACGATCAATAAAAGCTAA